GCGCGCTCCCGCCAGCCGTACACGAGAGCGCGCGGCAGGGGGAGGGCGCGTTCGGACCGCGCGTGCGCAGCGGGCCTCTTGCGGTCTCGGCCTCCCGGCCCCGCCCAGCAACACGAGAGCTCGCTGCCATTGGAGGAGGCAGGAGAGCGTCCTTCCCGGCAGACCTCGCGCGGGCGGCGAGCTTGCGGTCTGGGGGTTACGCCGAGGGCGGTGCGTGGCTGCGCTGGGCCGGGTTGTGGCGAGCGGGGCGGGCGTGGGCGTCCTCTCAGGCGTTCGCCCCCGCTGGGGTGCGCTCGCTACCGCGAAGGACTCCGTGGTGGAGCGGCCGCGAGAGCCAAGGAGTACCGCAGGAGCTGCGCCCGGTGCGGGCAAAGTGAGGTCAGCCGGCTGCGGTGGCCCCAGGAGCCTGGCCAGGCGCGAGTCCGGCGGCGCGAGAGCCTCGAAAAGCGTTTGCTCCGGAGCCCGCGTCTCTGCTTCCTCTCCAGTCTCGCTTTCTTCCCTTTCCCGGTGTTGGTGCCAGGTAAACACCCTGTACCCTGAACTCCCCGCTCAGCCCTGCTTCTGGAAAAGCCTTCCAGCGGCGGTCAGAGCCCGGGACGAGGCGGGTTCCCGGCGGCATCGCAGACCAGTGGCGAGGCGGGGAGGTGAGCTCAGGTGAGCGCGCTAACGGTCGAACAGCGAACATTTCCCGTGTGACCCTGCTGGGCACGACGTAAAATTACGGCTATTTCTGACCATAATTGAGGTAGAAATAGAGTGAGAAAGGGGACGTTAGTCCTCCTCCACAACCCTAACCCCGAACTATTAGGTTGCCAGGCTGCAGCAACAGTACTACAAGCTGGGTTTGACAAAAATTCATTATCTCAAGTTCTGGAAGCTCGAAGTCGAAGATCGAGATGTGGGGCAGGGTGAGTTCCATCTGAAGGCTGTGATGGGAAACCCACGCTTCTCCTAGTCTCAGGTGGCTGTTGGCAATCTGGTGTTCCTTGGCTTTAAGTAGATGAATTTCCCCAGTGTCTGCCTTCGTGATCTTCCAGTGTGCCTGTCTTTTTTTTTTTTTTTTTTTTTAAATTTTAAAGACAGTGTTAAAAAGAACAATAGCAAAATGCCAACAATATAGACAAAAAACAAAACTGCCTATCTTGATATAGGAATGATATAGAAGCATTATAACTCCCAACGCTGAGTTCGTATTCCCCAAAATCGAACAACGCTAGGGAACAACGGAGGTAGCAGGACATTTTATTGAGAGAGTGACAGCGCCTGAGAGGAAGGAGGGGGCCCAAGTGGGTTGGCAGTGAGCCCACTTTCTGGAGGAACTTTTACAGAGTAAAATCATGAGGTGGGTACGATGTGGAAAAAAACTGATCGACCAATAAGGTTACAAGTATAGTTGTTTAAGTAATACTGATCCAGTGGGGAAACATGTCACGCAGCAAGTGTACATGAAAAGAACAAAGAACTTTTCAGGAAGAAAATGGGTCTTAGGGTCTTGGTCTCCCACTGAGGTGATTGAGGTCTATATAGACTTCATTAGACCAAGTGTTACCACTTATCCCTTGGGGAGGCATGTAGGCCTGGTCATTTCCTCTTTATCTTGAGGCTTGGCTTGGCGGGTGCGCCTCCGGCCACAGCTGTAATGTGTTTTTTATCTTTTGGGCCTACCCCTGTCTGTCTATAATATTTCTATCTAACTTAGCTGTCTACAATAATCTGTGTGCAAATTCCCACTTTTTAAAAAATAAAAGACAATTATTCTGGCTATGGATGTACTCTGAGAGTTCATTTAAATTTGATCATCTACAGAGACTTCCCAATAAGGTCACTTTCACAGGTTCTGAGGGTTAGGATTTAAATATCATTTTGAGAGGGGCATAGTTCAACCCATAACAAGTTGTAATACCCCTCAACATGTACTGACTTTTTGAGAACTTTATGTGGCGGCTGGATTATGAGGGTGCCTGATGAAGGGAGCTAGAAGATAAAATTGCATAGTATAGTTTATTGATGTAAAAACAGTCTTCCAAGATAAGAGATTTAATAGCCTAGCAATGACCACTGAGGCATTCTGGAGAATGTTAACATTGTTCCTTTAGTCAGTGATAATTGGTAAGCCAGATGAGCAAAAAGTGGAGAAGATTTTGGAAACCTTAGTAATAAGTAATGTTAGCACTGCATTGTCTCACTAGTGTAAACCTGAAAGAGTAATTTAAACTCGGAGGTATGATAGACATTATGAAATGATAGGAAAACACTCAAGGGTAAAGGGCAACGGGATGTGGAAACAAGGGAAAGAAGGAGAAATTTTGTATGTTATGTATATACAGGATAGTTAACATAGTTGTTCTACTGTCTTCTATTTGTTGAAAAGAACTGTTAATGAGTCCTTGATTGATCAATATTGCATGTCTCTGTTTTCATGAGAAACTACTTTGAAGATATCAATATGTAATACAACAAGCATTGTTAATTTCCTGCTGCTTTGTTTGTAATTCTGTATTGTCTGTACTGTTATTTTGCTATTTTGTAAAAGGTTGTCTGTTAATGTTTTCCTCCTTTTATTTTTAAAATAAAAAATAAATAAGTAAGTAAGTAATATTCTTCAAAATGGGAGATAAACCCTATGAGAATTCAGGTGTGTGCTACATCCTCGTATTTTTAGGGTATAGTGGTTGGGTGCTCTAGGGCATTCCTTCCAAAAGTAAAGTAATTTTATCTTACACTTCTGTATTAAGAAAACATGACATTCAATGGTTTTTTTGTTTTGTTTTGTTTTGTCTTTTTGAGACAGGGTCTTGCTATGCAGTTCAGGCCGACCTTGAGCTCATTTTGTAGCCCAGGCTAGCCTCGAACTTGCAATGATCCTCCTGCCTCAGCCTCCCAAGTGTTGGGATTACAGGCATGCACCACCATGCCCAGCTCAATGATTCTTGAGCTGGATCTTAGCTCAAGTTTGGGAGATATTCTATACCTTGGAATATTACCTTGGCTCAACTGGGGCAGGGTGTTTGGGAAATAGAAAAAAGAAAACTACCAGTTTTGAAAAGTGCGCAGAACAGGAAAAATCTGTACAGTTGATCTGTGTTGCAGGCAGTTTTGTTGCCTGAGCTGTATGGTCAAGCAGTTATCAGTGGTGGGGAATGATGTAATATGGAGTTTCTAACATGACGGGGGTTGGGGAGTGATAATGAAGGGCCCTGAGGTTTCTGTCATGAACCTGGGGCAAAGAATGAGCTGCTTCTAAGGGGGTTATACACACATACATACACACACAGCGCTAATCAAGATGAAACATCTGACCATAAGATAACAAGTGACTATGCAGCCAAAACTGTTCATTATGAATTTAAATCAACTCATTGGCCAGTTGGGGCCAGTAACATTTCCATCAGGTAGAAGTGATACATTAAAGATTGGGCGTGAAAATCTATAGAGGTTGCCAAGCAAGCTGCAGAGCAGTTGCAACCTCCATGGTATCTATAGCTGTTGAACCCAAGACTCCATCCTTTCATACCTGTGACTGAAAGGGAAGACTCTAATAGCCAATTGACAGGGGAGGAAAAATCATGAGCCTGCCTCACACATGGCTTGTCTGAGTATGTGAGGAAACTAGGAAGCAGTTACATTAAGCCACACTTGGGTGACCTTAGAAAATGGTGGGAAGGATTAGGCATAATTTCAAACAGTTCCTAGTCATACCTTCTCTGTGAAATGGCCCAAGGTAAGAGTAAGGAAAAGACAATTTAAAGTTGGAAAGAAGGCAGTCTGGCAGAGTCATGTGAATAGGTGTGTTGAGATAGGCACTAAGTGTGATGATCTTTGTGTAAATGCTAACTAAAGTTGACAAAAAAGTACCCATACACAACCAAATAACAGTGATTCAGCCAGTTTACATGGGACACCATTTCTTATTGGGCTTCTCGGTATTACTATGATGACTACATGAAGAAAATGGCCAGAGTGTTGGAATTGGAGCTTATTCATGGGCCTAACAGCGTTGATTTTCTCCCTTGCCTGCAACTGAGTGTCTAAACTACCAGCAAAAGTGACCAGTGCTAAGCTCCTAATAAGGCATGCAGACAGTCAAGTTCACCATATTGGAACTCTCCCAATGGAATCCTTCCCATTTCCCTTGAAAGAAGTGCTGGTTCATTTTCAAAAGAATAGACTCATTCCAGGTACAGGTTTCCCTTTCCTGCCTGTCAGTCAGCAAGGGCTTAATGAGTGTTTGTTCCACTGGCCCAGGATACCACATAACATTTCAAATGGGATTCACATTACCACAATAAAATGTAGGAGTTTTACAACGCAGTGACCGTGGAACCCACTGCCTGGTGGAGCACTGGGACAGAATGCTAAAGGCACAGCCTGTCAGGTTGGAGGTTTTCAGATGCACACTTATAGGCAGGTACAGTGTGAAGATGAATTGCTGAATTTAGGATCTATTATCAAGACCTTTATATGGCACTGTGTTCCTAATCAAAAGATAACTTGGGGCTAGGGATGTAGCTCAGCAGCACAAGCACCTGCCTAGCAGGTGCAAGGTCCTGAGTTTGATTCCCAGTACAAAAAAAGAAAGATAATGACCTGAAAGCCCAGGATTAGGAACAGGAGTGACCCTACTTCTATCATTGCTAGTGACCCGTTAGGGAGCTTGGTCCTTTCCTATCCTCCCAGGTTTAAACTGCAGTGTTACAGGTCCTGGCCCCCAAATAGGACACTCTCCATGAAATACACCAAGTGCTCCACCGGACTGCAAACTGGATGAGATCTAGGAAGTTTGGTGTCCTTGCATCTAGGGACCAGCTGGCAGAAAGTGGCACCATTTTGTTGACAGTGAAGGAGGAAGTAGGGACATTA